GAGYGGTGTCGCCCAGTGACGCAGCTCCAGTTGCTTCCTGCCACACAAAGAATCGTGGGAAATCTTTACTAAATGAAAACTGTCACCCAGAAGGACAGTCAGAGAGTATATAGCTCTGTGAAAATATCATTGTCCAAGGGGGTGCTRTTCCATTGTGTTGATCAGAGATGGCCTTACCCCTTCCAGTGATGAAGATAATGATATGTGGTTATGCTATCTAATGAATTTAGACRTCTTTCTTTCTCCGCATAGAAAATATTGACAAAACTAAATGAAAAGTTTAGTTTAGTACTGCTCAATTTTAAATTTAGAAAGTGCAAAATAATCCACATATTATTTAATGAAATTAGTAAAACCCCTAAAGCGCAAATGAGAAATTTAGGTCCACAATTAGTGCTTTAGGGAACTAGTGCCCACCAGTGAAAATCACAATGTATTTTTTATTGCTTCACTCACTAGTCCKGTTCTTTGATGTCAACAGGTAAGATGAGTTCAGAATGGGTTTGAGTCATGTTTTAGCCATGAGCCAACATGCTCTGACAGGTAGATTTAATCATAATAATGGAAAATCACCTCAATGCATCAAACAGCCCGGCCATGAACAAGACGTGTATTTATTTACAGATGCCTTTAACTATTGTTTTAACTTACAGAAATCTACGAACAACATGTGTATTTTGAAAAATTCAAAGTCTTGTTAGAGACAGCATAATAGTTGTATCACATACTGATCCTTTAAGACTGGCAACCTACACCTGTAAAACGTGATCCAATATTCACCTGAATATATCCTCATTACAGCAATAATACTATTGAAAGGAACAAGCACAAACTGTTTCTACTCGTTTCTGATAAGGACAACACTTCAAAATGCAAATGAAATACATGAACAACTCTTTCAAAACAATCCAAGCATAATTAAATCATAATTATTTTTCTTTTGCTGCAAACAAAAAAAGATCACATCTTTATAGTTAGTCAAAAATTWTGTGCATGACCAGACAAGCAAATTATGAAAATATTTGAGAGGAAAAAACAGGAAACCGAGCCAGACCCACAGAGGTTCACATAAAATATGTTTGTTTGTTTTTTTTCCTTGCAGAAGTTGAGTTAAATAACCAAAAAGTTTGTGATAAGAGCATGTTGACTTCTTTAAATTTCAAGAAAAGGAGCTTCAATGCTTCAGTTTGTTTCTGTTTCATCATCTATCTGTTGCGTCTAATGCCTGTTTCACACGGCAAGATTTTAAAATTTTACGTCACCTCCTGAAATCTTGCTAGACCTCTCGACATCAAACATGAGTTGAGAGTAAACAAACATGGCAGGCGAGGAAGAAGCAATGGCTATAGTTTGTGGACAACACAAAAATAAAAAGGTGTTGAGCAAAGGAGTGGAAACATTGCAAACAGAGGCTCTACWAGATACATTATCTTTTGTTTTCTGAGTTTCACTTCCGCCTTTCTGTCTCCTCTCTTTCTGATTGGCTACACATCACATTCAACAGGTTGCAGGCTCATTTGTTCTCAGGTGAATGCAACATGCTGCGATATCGCGCCAACATGTTGAATATGCCTGATTTGAGGTCAGAGTGGTCTCTCTCAGCTCTAGATCACTCATATAACTCACCACCCACAGCAGGAAGATCTGCTGATAAGCTTTAGAGCAGGGATGCCCAAACATTTTCCCCGAGGGGACCAAAATGAAAATCTATCCATGGCTGTGGGCAAAATGCAGTTATATACATATATGAAATACAAATACTTTTTTAAAGTAAAGTTCTTTATTTTTAACCATTAAGCTGTGCAGTTGCCCTCTTTTGTTTTAGTCTGTGCACTTGGAGAAAGTCTGCCATACGCTCAAGTAGCAAAGGCTCATGGGACATTTTACAAATTGATAAAATGTGAGTTTTTGTGGCCTTATAAAGTGTGCAAATCTACATGCGGGGTTAAATCTGATCTAAATATTTGTTGTCATTTCATGTTTCTTGTTTAATCCTAATAAATCAAAGATATGTCAGCACCATGACTGAAAACTACCTTCACTACAGCCCTTTTATATAGTCATTTGACCAATGGAAATACTGTGTTTCTACCTACAGGATAACAGGTTACAACCTTGTAACTTTGGCAACTGTTGGTGGGCCAAATGAAATGGCTTGACGGGCCAAATTTGGYYCGCCGGCCCCACTTTGGGCTCTTCTGCTTTAGAGCCATCACAATAGTAGCGTCTTTAAGATTGTAGAAAGRGCAAAATCCGGCCATTTGGAACAATTATCCTGCCGTGTGAACCTGCCATAAGTTAAGCCTTAGTTTTAAACTGGATCAGTTTGACTCAAGGGCAACAGGAGGGTTATGAAAAGAAGATGACCTGTTCTATTCGAAATAATGTACAAAACACAGTGGCAGTTTAGATAAGCAGTTTCTGACAATCTTTAAATTAGTTTACTGTTCATCACCCACTGCCATAAAAGTAAAAAGAAGGTGATAATGTTATCAGGATATGTACAAAAATTCWTTAGTTAAATTTCACACCTTTTAATACCGTCACATACCAACATGACTTAAAGCTGCAACTCTGAGCAAGTACAGGTCACAGCAGTACACAGGGAGAGATTCTTGTTGTGTGGGCGGAGTTTGTCCTAAACATGATGCTTAGTCAGATTGACTTGTCTTGAGGGGCAACCTAACTTGATTTATTGACTGTCTATGTACAGTTTAAAACAGAACAATTATTCAAATAAAAGTCCAATTAACCATTTACCTCTATTGATGATTAAATCTGCAGGATTTTTTGCTTCCAAAGTGCTTAAAGAAAAAAAGGGCAATTTTTGTTCAATAACTATTCAAAAGTCAACATTTTCGTAAAGGTCAGTAAAGGTTTATCCTTTGTACAATAAAATTTAAATAAAAACCAGATACTGCATAGCAGTAGCATATATGACTCCCATGCATACTCAAAGCACCCACACACCAGAACTCACATATAGGYTGCAGCTGTTTATGATGTTCTGGGGTCTCATTTATAAAGGATTGCATGGGCATGTTTCTGCACATCTTTCCTTTATAAATCACAGCCGCACGTCAGAGTTTGCGCACGAGGTTCCGCCTCAGGTTCTACCCTCTACACGCCCACACTCAACCATAAACAGTCAATGYAAAGTACCTCATGAATGTTAAGATGTATTTAAATCAGTCAGCTGATCAATGTCAACAAAAGTGATTGGTTCAGACACGCTCTGTCTTTAAGTCTTTAAGTTCTGCAGAAGCCTGTCAATCACTTATTCATTTAAAACAGGTGTGCCAAAGCAGGGAAACAACTAAAACATGCAGGATAGGGGTCCTTCAGGACCAGGATTGAGAACAACTATAGTGTGTTAAGCTCCAAATTTAGTCAGTTTTGTCTTTGAGTCAAAACAATGAGGCGTTTTTTCAACGTGAAGTTGTGAACGGCCTGAGCTGCAGAAAGATGGACCGAGCCGCAGTCAGAACCATTGTAGAGAAGAGGGATCTTCAAAGGCAGAGATGGAAGAAAATACAGTCTGAGACAGAGTGAGGACTTTGACGAGGAAGTAGGAGAACCATTATTGGGATTAAAAGAAAGAGAAGAGGAGCATCAAGTGGACTGACCAGAGAAATCCTCAGTCAGTCCACCTGGCATCAATAACCATATTAATCAATTCAAGTTTTTCTAATGATTAACTGCACACAGTAAGATTTTGCCCAACCCTAATAGGGACACATCATTGGCCAACATCATTCTGTAGAACTCACAACAACTTGTTATATAATCTTAAAGAAAACTGACTTTGTGAACAGCTAATGTTGCTAGGAAGGAAAAATAGGTTTACAGTAAACATCTGAAGGACAGAAAGCAGCTTTTTAYTGATGTCAAAGTAGGGCTATGTGGACTGACTGATCACTGCATCGTTACTGCACACAGCAGGTAGTTTATTTCCATTTAGAACAAGAGCAAATGAGGAAAAGATCTAACTCACTAGCCTTCTTCAGCATTCTCTACACATCTTACACAAACAACACAGTTCTATTTGGTAATGTTATAAGGACACATTTTAAAAGGGGGTGGGCCAACTAAAAATGGGAACAAACAAACATGTTTATGTTGGTGTTCACTTCAAKGTTGACCTGATAAAACCAGAGCTTGCTTTTCCTCCTGAAATAGAAACACTTTAGGAAAAAATGCACAATTTCTTACAACAAATAAAATGTGGAATACAGGGACAACTCTTCAAGTTTACGACTCATTTTTCCCACGCTGACTATATTTAACTAAGTCCAACCGAGACGGCAAAGTCAGCCTGCTGCATTTCACAACTTCTCAGCTTTTGTGTTTGCACACACCTCTGACAAACTGACCAGTTTAGGTGGAGCACAACACCAGGTATCATTATTCAAACCCAGTCAGAGCAATCAGAAACTGAAAAGCATAACAACTAGTGTGCAAATGGTTTGCAAAGTCCTTCCTGTCAGAGTATGTCTACATGGGTCAATTGAGGAAAAATGATGGAAAGGATTTAAAACAAATCTTTGACATCAGAAATTGATATAATTTTAAAAAATCCTTGATGAATCTCACATGAGCAGAGTTTTAAATTAGGATCATTTTGTGATGAGAAGGGATAGAGTTATAGCAGTTTTAGTTCAACTTAGTAAACACCTTTACTGCAGCAATCTCACATGTCAGAGCTTGAAGTATGTGTTGACGACTCTCAGCTGTTCCCACATCAAACTTAAGGCCAATATCTGTGACTTTCATTAWGTTTCAGTTGTTTTTGAATTGGCCAAAAATTAATGCAATTATTCAGAACATTTTTGCTTGTGAACAGACAAATGAACAGAAGCATGGGCAAATACATTTTTACCCTTCCACCTTCAGAGAAAGGCAATCATTAAGACTGAACATGTAACTGTGAAACTATTACTTTCTTCAGAAAAGGCTAACTCAGCTTTTAATAGATGCTGAATTAATAAGTCCTTTAGTACCTTTGAGGCGTGCTTGATTACTCCATGCAGGTCTAGAGGAGCTCAATCTTGATTGAACTTTTGTCTCTGGGTCTATTGGATCTTCTTCAATTGTCTGTCCCATGGCAAGCAGACCCAGTCTTTTCATGCGGAGAAGCCGTGGACCGGACTCCTTGGGCAGAGCTGTCCCGTGTTCAACAGGTGTCTCCCCTGAGATCGCAGCAGGAACCAGGCTCTTTAGAAACTCCATCTTAGCTGGACTTTTTAGGTCTCAATACAGAGATACCTGTGCAGATGCCTGTCCAGATACCTGTGCTGTGCCATCTGGCCACGCAAACTACCTATCTGCTGGATCTGCCTCATTTACAGAGAAGCCTGTGTGGAGCCGTTGCTTACATGCAGCAAATCCACATTTACACAGCTTAAGTACCAATATGAGAATAAACACTGGCTGTAAGACTGAAAATCTGCTCTAAGGTATACCTGCAGCGAGCCGACATGACACTTCCTTCACTGCAACATTACCTGACTGTTCAGCRTAAAAAGAAAGCAAAAATACACGTCTCTTTCCACAGGTTGTGATGTAATTGTGAGTGGGCAGGGTTATTTTTGAGTGCCGGGCCCTATCTGGGGTGGGACTAAAACATGTTCAGCAGGAGATAACACAACCCGGGCCAGCAGCCAATCATAACAGCAATGACAGGAGCCACACCCTGCTGGCTTGTGGTACTAACAAGTGAGAGACACCAAGAATGGAAGAGGAAGGGCTGACHGACACCACGAGGAGAAGGAAATCTTCACAGAGCATTTACCAATAACTACTCAAATAGTGTCACTAGTTCACACAAAAACACTCAATTGTTTTCCAGCCATTTCACCTAAAAATAAAGAGTAATCTTAGCCTTTCTTTCACTTCAGCTCAACTTTGAGCTAACGAAAAGAAATCAAGTAAAGAAGGATCAAACTGAACAGAGAGATGAMAAACTGGCTGCACAGCTTGTACCTGCAGCAAATTCAAACCCTTGCAACTATGCCTTCCTGCAGAGTCAGAGGGGCTACACTGTGCTGACTCTCTTAAAATGCCCACTGCCTACAGCAATAATCAATTTGATGTTTAATGATAGAGTCTAAAAATTAAGAAACCACCTAAGCACAAACAGTCAGCTTTCAACAATAACAGAAAATTGCCACACTCCACAAACTTAATGATGATCACAGCAAGTGTGGAAACACTAAAAGATTTGAAGGGGAGGATTTTCCACAGTTTATTCTTAACAAAATATCAAAATAAAGCATTTTGGATTCAAAAAAATACATTTTTGTCCTCATAATGACTTTTTTAAATAGTCTAACAAGGTAAAAGGGAATMATTATTTCATGTTCTGCAATATTACGACTACTAAAAACAGTATTGTTTTTAAATATACAGTATACTGCTCCAATACACAGCAATAAATGTTTGGACTTGGACTGAATTTACAACAAAGAAAATGTGTATTTATTCTGACATGGTCGTTTTCTAACCCCCACACACAAACCATTAGAAGCAATTAGGATAAGTCCACATAGAATCACAAAGGGACATCAGAAGCTGTAAATAATAAATGAAAGTATTCTCCACTCAGTGTGGAGACGGTGTGCTGGTGCATGATGCTCCAGCTGCATTTTTAATCTATYTCAGAGAAGGTGACTTTCATTCAGCAAGTTAAAGCTGATTTGTTTTTGTTTGTTTTTGTTTTTGTTTTTTTTTGCTTTGATTTGCTCATTGCAAAGGTGTATTAACAAGAATTACTCAAATAAAAGTATAGATACTGGGATCAAAAAATACTTTTTTTAAAAGTAGTGGTGCTGTTTTTGTTAACGATGACAAAACTAGATACCACATAGCGGTAACATAATGACCCCCACATGCACAAATGCACCAGAACTCAGAAGTCTTTATTCCCAATAAATGTCATGCTACCAGATGCATTCCAAAATTGTAGTGGTTTGGGTAGGGGTCTTTTTTGGGGGGAGGGTGTGTGTGGGGGGG